TACAGGGTCTCAACTTTCATTGTGCTGTAAATTAAGGAGGGGGGGAGTATGCTAATACCCCTTAGAGGACATTAAAACAGAGCTCAGCAATGGTTAAATGGAATTTTATAAGTGCATTCAGTGTAGAACTGTTTTGCATTACATGAGTTGAATACCTTAGAGATGACACACATCTGCAGGCACTTTATTAAATCCTTAGTCAGCACTTTTGAACATGATGAGATTACTTCTTCATTTGACTGGAGAAAGGAAAGCTAAGATCTTGTACCAGGCTGCAGAATTCTTTTTGATGTTTCACCTTGAACATTTGGGAAAGGGCGGTGAAATCCATTTTATGGACTGTACAGAATTGCAATAGCTCTGGGTGCAGGCAGACAAAATGTCTGCATGCAAGCTCAGGCAGCATCCTGGGAGTATCTGATACAAAGGATTTCTAAGAGCAAGTATAGATCTGGACAGTTCCTGGGAGAGCTTATAAAAACAGATTAAAAGTAATATAGTGGAATTTCTTTCTCTTTTTTTCTTGGTAAAGAACTTAGATTGCAGCTTTATAATGCACCAAAACAGTTGGAAATTTCATTGAATATAAATATATAGATCTCTTGGCACACCACAAGTACCCACTGTTAACCTTGCTTCTCCAACAATGAAAGTTCATCAAAAGGATCATTTGCCTTTGAAACGCTCATGTAAACTTTTGATCCAAAAGGAAAGTGGGGAAAAAAAAACACACCAAAAGAATAATCGAACACTGCAGAAGTACTACTTTGATTAACTATTAATTCATTTGTTATTAGCTTGAGATAGGTAGTAAAATTAAAGATACATAGGCTGAATCTAATAAAAGCACATGAGCATATATGACACTGTGACATTTACAGAAACTTCAATTGGGTTGTAATTGGATTGTGACCATATGGTTTGATCCGCAAAGAGTTAATGTTGTTGCCCTGTTGTCTCAGGTGTGATTGGTGCCTGCAGGTGTCATGTTGACACCTCCAGTGCAGGGCAACTCTGCACCTTTATTGACATGTTGCTTGCCAAGAATACAATAGCACTCTGTCTGCAAATCACTGCTAAAATCATCTTTTAAAAAAAAATGAAAGAAAAAGTTTGAAAGCCTTAAGGCTTCGACAAAGGCACAAAGAGCTGCAGTGCGCGCTCAAAACTCCCGAGTCAGCAACTTCTATTGATTAAAAACTAACCTTTAAAGTAACTCTCGGAGTGTGTGGTTAGCATTTAAATTTAAACATGTCATGAGTTGATTTGTGTTACTGCATACCAACTCCGAAGGAGTTACATTCACATCAGGGCTTTCTCCTCCTCCTCCTCCTCCCCCCCCCCCCAATTCCCTTAAGCGGCTAAGTATTTCATGAAGTGTCAGTGGGGCAAAAAGAAGGGAGAAAGGTGTTTATGAGGAGCCTTCTAAGTTTTCTTTCCCATGCAAATAGTCAATTCCTCCCCCCCTGCTCTCCCCCCACCAAAAGAAAAGTGTGGGGAGTGCAACACAATAATTAGCCCTTTGTCTAACTTTCCCAAGTGCCAGAGAGAGGCCGATTAATTAAATATACAACAGCATTGGGTTTTGGAGTGGGGGTCTTGCTTTCTGGGTAGGTCATAAATTAGGCTGAATAAATACTTCAATGTGTTTGCAGTGGGCCTGCTACGTCAGAGCCCCTGGAAGGTTGGTGGGAGGAGAGCCTTGTGTTTCTTGCTAATGATAGTCACGTCTGGGTCTGTCTGGTTGCTCCTAGCAACCAGACATGATGTAACACCAGGATGAACTTGAACTTGGGGACTTGAAAAGGAACAATAGACCAGAGCAATCAATAAAGCCTATTTCAGTGAAGGATTACAGAGCTGCTTTGGAGTAACCTTGTCTGCAAGGCACACACTGAATAGTAAGATGGGCAAAGAAAGTTTTATACCCTCTTTTTTTTTTAAAGGAGGGCAGAAGCACTGCAGAATTCTTTTTTTAAAAGAAAAAGTTATGCAGTGAGTAGCAGAGGAGAAAAATGTTGTATGGAAAAGGGCACCTCCTGCTGTCCAAAATGCAGATTGTGTATCACCCAAAAAGTGGGGCTGTGTATACAGGCTGCCTTCGGCAGTAGTGTAAATTAGGTTTAAGTCTTCTACCGCATGTTCCTAAGTGATCCCAGGCATATTGATATCCAGATTCAGAATCAAATCACTATACTACTTTTCAGCAAGTAAGTACTCAGACCAAATTTAAGTAGCCCTATCAATTATTTAAAGCTTCTAAAGTAAACATTATATTAGATCCATAATCAAGCCAGATGGCAGGGTTTAGACTCTTGATAGGAAAGTTTGGACTAGTGTTTGCCTGACAATTAGAAAGTTGTCCAACTTTTTGAATCTTGATTCAAAAATGGGGCACTGATATATAAAAAAAATGCCTGTTCTGCTGCACAAAGGAGTTCTTGAAGGTGGCACAGACACACGTCGTGAAAACATTTAAGAATTGAAACGAATCTTGGGTTTGTTTAGGAAGAGTCCTTATTTGCAGATGAAGGTAATTTAAATTAAAGTATATTTAGTATCAAGGTTTTTAAATTTAATACTTTCTTGATGGCAACAGCATAAACTATAACTCATACAAAGCATATTTATGAAACTAGACACTTACTCTGCTTTACTAAATGAATTAATTTTCTCAAAATATGTTCACGCTAATCTGGCAGATAAATCTGTGTCAAGATAATGAATACAGATTCTTTAATCACCCAAGGAAATTTTTGTGTAAAAAGTTCCAAAACAAACAGATTTCTATTTAATCTCAGCCAATTTCAATCTGATTTACGAAGAATGGTGAGAAACAATAGCAGATGTAAGTGTATTAACTTTGTAAATGTCCAAAGAACTGGGTAGTAAAGTGAAAAACGACACAAAAGTATACACATTGACAAGTTTCTCTTTTACAGTTAAATATTTTAAATAAAACAATACTTGTTTAACATATCTTCATGACATTCTGCCAAAGCTTAAACCATGTAATCTTTAAGCCAGCCAACTTTTCCCATTTTTTGTCTTGTACAAGCTGTTTTCTCAACCTTGGTCAGAAAGAAAAGAATATTTCTGATAATGTCCCACTTCTAAAATGCTCTCTGAAGAAAATGTCCTTTGGTTTTTATTCATTTTTCCTGCCAATCAATCCCATTCTATGGGGCATATCTTCACCAAGACTTCAAAGTACTTCGGTATCAGCCCTGAATATGTCTGATGTCAGCTGATGTTTGAAGCTGATTCAGTTTATTTCCGATTATAAGCCAGTTTATTTGAAACCAGAGTAAAGCTGATCCTTCCGCCTCTTTTTGAATTCATGAACCTCTTCAGAAGTTATCAGTTGTTTATTTTCCCATCGATAAAAATTCTTTTTTTCATCATGCCTTCTAGCTCCTGGACTGAAGGCAAAAATCACTCTCTTTCACATCCAGTTCCTATTTGGAACATATTTACACTGTTTACAAATTTTATAGTGTCCTTCTTCACTTTGTTTACTGGAATAACAGGCATTTATGATTATTGCTATTGAGAAAAGCATTTATTTGCACATTTGCTGGCATGGTAGCCTTATTATTGTAGCCAACAAGAGATTTTTAAATGCAATTGAGTTATTGTTAACTTAGCTATTGATAAGCCACCATTCACCACCTATTTTTTCCTATTCTGAAAGATATATTTCAATGAATGTGAAACTATCCCAAATCAGTTGGTTCCAAAGTGATGGGGAAGTCTCAAAATTACAAAATCTCTTTCAAAACTTTCCATAGCCTTGTTATTTTGAAATTTATAATCTCATAATTCATGATGAGATCATTAGATTCTCATTCATGAATAATGTTATCAGTGTCAGTACATATTTGAAATAAACCTATATGTCTTATAATGAAGATATTGAGACTAAAGACTATTCTGAACTTGTTAAAAATTGTATTTTATATTATGACATGATTCTTTTTGTTTACTGTAATAGAACAATAGATTTTATCTCAGGTTTTTTACTTTTTAACATAGATTTAGCATAGATCAGCAACAATTGTTTCTTAATTTAGGACTTGTCTTCTGTATTTTAAATTTAAGCTGAGTTTAAGATGCTTTAAACAATTTTGCACCTCCTATTTCACAGACTTCCATTGCAAAAGATATATTTGTAAACCAGAGTACTGAAATAGAAATCTGCATTATAAAAGTTTCTTTTTTCTACATTTTATTTATTTATTTTACATTTATTTATTAAATTTCTATGCCTTCTCCCATACAAGATGACTCTGGTTGGCTATAGATTAGAATAGCCAAGGCAAAGTGGCTATGCCTTAATATGATTGTACTGGATGTTAGTCTTGAATTGTTTGAGCAATCAATGTTGTTATAATTATAGGAAAATAAATACAATGCCATACTTAAACAATATTTTGGTCAAAATGTTTCCTAAATAAATATGAACTTTGATAACACTTGCAAGAGCATATAACTGTTTAGACTCTGATGAAAAAATGTCAAGTAAGTATATTTAGGAAGAATTATTAGTCAATTATGTCAAGCCACAATTACCAACTTTGTGATGATATTAATTAACAATTTGACAAATTTCTAATAGTGGAAACCACTGCAAAAACTAAGTGTAACAGAGAGTAACAAGTCCTCTCCCCTTAACACCCTGTATCTCTTCTTTTAGCCTTTTTTAATGAGTTGTGGGCATGCGGTTACTTAATATCCCCTGTGCTGTCATATTACATAAATTCGTATTGGTATGTCCATTCAATATCGTTCATTTCCCAATTTTTCAGTGAATTACACAGATAAATAAGAGAATGAGGATGCACACTTTAATCTGACTTGATTAGCTTCACATTCTAATACCGAAACAGTGAAATTAATGGTTCCCAGTTTTCTTTTTGCAGTCTTCATCCATGTCAATGAATTTATGTTACAATTCTCTCGCAGGCCAATAATTTTGTTTCCCTTTGTCTTCTTTGCAGTCCTGGTACCTGGGATAAAACTAACAGTTTCCCACCATCCAGCAGACAGACCACCTGACCCACGTTCGAACTCTGTAACATGGAAGCAGCCACAAAGCAGTGTTGTTACTTCACGTCCATGGAAGGAGAGCAGACAGAGATTGACATCAAGCAACTGCTCTTACTCAGAGACGGCAAATGTTATGATTGAGCATCAGAGGCCGTAATATAGTGGGGGGGAGGAGGGAGTTTGAGGGTTGGGGTTTTGGTTTGGTTTGAGGTTTTTTTTTTAAAGAACACCTTAGTGACCGATGTAATTTCTCATATGGTGCTGGAAATGTTTGAGCTTCATATTTTTGAAGTGTTTCAAGTGATAGTGTAAGAATTAGGGACATTGAGTAGCAGAGCGAGCCTGCTGGCTACTTACTGACTTGCTATTGTAACCCTTTCCATACAGCACCTAACTGTTTTACAGTATTTTTTACTGATTAATTTCCCATACAAGTGTGAGACTTACTGAGAGATCCGAAGAGCTACACATAAATAACTTTATAGTAGCTGAGTTCTTCAGTATGACACTTACAAGACAGTCATGGGGCATGTTTTTTCTGTAACATATCAGGATTTTTTTTTTAATTTTGCAATCAGCAATTCAATATATGACACGAATCATAAGATGGTAATTGACAGGTTGGTTTCCACATAAGTGGCAAAGAAATATAAACCATCAATCTACTACAGGTCAAACAAAAAAGAAAGAAAATAAATGCTGCACTTAACATGAAACATTTTTGACAATTTTCAACAATGACATAAAATTCATATGGAAATGGGGAAGTTGGTCTGTTTTGATAGAAACTGACAGGAATCAATCAAAACAATTGAATTTTGAATTGAGAAAAGTGCAATTTCATTGGATAGCTAAATATCTTTGTAAGATAGAGATTGTTGAAAATTCTATTTTTGTTTTCCAAGTCCTTCCACCCCAGGACTCTAAATTATTGGGGTAAAAAACAGCCTTGAAAGAAAAAAAAGGGGGGGAGCTATTTTTGCTTTTTATGTTTTTTATTGTTAAACTTGTATCCCTTTAAACTGAAGGAAATTTAAAACGTTCACACACAAAATTTGATGGTGCTTTTACCACAATATGTTATCTTCATTAAATGCTAATTATTTTCTGTTATCAAAGCACATAATTAAAATTAAATCATAATATCTGTTCATTATATAAGCTAAAAATCAATTATCATAGAGTATGATAATTCTGACAAATCATACATGTTTCCGGCAATATAGGGTATATCACTTCTTAAAAATATCTTGGCCACAGTTTAATGCAGAGGAAGGCATGCTTAAAAAATAGCTTTAAGCATTTTGTAGCCTGCATTGGATTGTGGTCTTTTAATATAATAAGAGATAGCTGTCCAGAAAGTAAAAATGCCTCTGTGTCCCTGAACTGGCCTTTTCTTTTCTTTTCTTTCTGGACTGCAAAGGCATCAGTAGAGAAGCAAAATGTGGATTTATATTTTATGCCAGTTCAAAGTGAGGGCACTTGCTTAAAAAAAAAAGAAAGTTTGGACCCCAAATGTCCTGTATCTTATGTAAAAAAAAAAAAAAAGGAAAAAAAACAGCAAAAAAAGCAGCAAAAAAATGCAAGTGATTTTTTTTCTTCTATCAGACAGCGGAGCACCCCTTTGCTTTCCATGCAACTTTAAGAAGGTTTCCTATATTATACATATATATACGTTCTGGTTGGCAAATCTAGCTAATCAGAGAAAGTCTCTGCATGTTCTAGTGTTAGTAACTAATTTTTATATAGTTAATGTAGGGTAAAGTAGAGTGCATTAAGACACAATATTGTAATCCCTAATCCAGGCACTTGCCTTTAAACTATGTTTGTTCGGCCCTTCAGAAGGGTTTCTACTACTGTCCTATACAATCAAGTAAACTGAATTTCTTGGGAAGACACTTTGCTCCTCATCTTTTCCCTAAAACTTTGTTGTTTTGTTTTGTTTTGTTTTCTTGATTTGCACGAAACAAAATAATAATAATAATAATAATTCCATATCAATGTGCCTTGCCCTGGATAGCGATTATTTGTGGAATTGTTGCACATGTTCCTCTATTGAAAGGGTTATTTTTCCCCCCCTAGTCAAGCATTTGGAGACACTTTTTTGTAAATGTGACTTTTATGTCCGCCATTGTCAGTTTCAGCATCTTAGAATACAATAGAAGGTTAGTTGTTTCACAGATAGGGGTAGTGTTTTCTTGTCCTGTACGGTCAGTGGCAGTGCTATTCTGATATCTGTAGATGCTAGAGTATATCAGTATTTTTGATGTGGCTGCATTTTACCATTTTCTTTGGAGTCTTCCTTTTGTTCATTTTTATTTTTTCCCAGATATATGAAAATATGCAATACCTGCTTATATCACATAGAAGAAAAGCTTAGCAATTCTTAATTTTTCTTTTAAGTCTTTTTTTTTTTAATTTGACCAAAGTCGGTGCTGCACTTGAAGCAGCATGTTTTAGGTGTTTGTCTTTGTACTTTTTTTGTGTGTGTGTGATTTTTGAATGCACACGCAGGAAGGGCTCTTCTTAGAGAAGCAGTCAAACTGTGAAGCACTAAGCTGAACCCTGCTTCAAGCAGTTTTTGTTTTTCAATTCTTCCTTTCACAAGCAAGCCTTAAAAAAAAAAAAAAAACACCTCCCGTTTTCTTCAAATCCCACACCCATTTTTATTAGCAGATTGCAATCAAACCACATTCAATAAAAAGTATGAAATGCCCATTTTTATATGCACGTTTTTAAACTTCCAAGTTCTGAAAATTGTTTACTGGTTATTCTCTATTTAAGGAAAAAATGTTTTGGATTTTCATATATGTCAAATAAGTGGTTGAGTAGTCATTTGCTCTGTTGTATTGTGTGATTGTTAGTATTATGGTATCACATCCACTAGCCAGCATCCTTTGCCTTCCCTATAGCACTTAGCAGGGCATTACCTTATTAAGACATATGTGCACTAAAAATAAAAAAATAAAAAAATTAGCAGCTTTCAGTGCTTCACAGTGAAGGGGAAAAAAAGCCTAGACAAACATTTTGTCAGAACCTTGCTCTAAGCCAAGGTATTACCAGTAAATTGGTTGTATATACAACAAAATTGCACCCTTTTTTTAAAAAAGAAACAAAGCAAACTAAGCAATAGTTTGGGCAGTTAGTTGTTTTTAGTAAGCATGTGATAGTCATGGCCAGAAAGAGAGAGAATCAAAGCTGCCCACTCAGAAGCTATGTAATGTGTATGTTGTATAGTTTTATTGATTACACTGATTTATTCTATCCTATTTTATAATGCAGGACTTTTGTAATGTTGTTTAAATAAGGAAAAATTTCTGTCAAATTAGCTTAGTGAAATTCTGATTGTTCGTTATAAAGGCAGCATTCATAGAATTGCTTTTTTTCCCCCCCTTTGGGAACTGGATTTAAGTTAAAAACTTTCCTGTTTCCTTTTTTGTATGTATTTAAATACAGTTTCCCCCCCCCCTTTTCTCAATAGTATAGCATATTCCTATGCTTGAGAAGTATAGGCTACTGAAAAACCATTGTAAATGGACATTACAGATATGCTGTATTTTTGAAGGCGTTTTATCATATTAAGTTTGAAGGTGGTAAAGTTAGGGAATTCTGATTGGAATCACACAAAACAAATTGTTTTTAAAGGCTTTAAACATTAGGTTTGTGGTCAAGGGTGTTTACCAACAGAAGTTGTAAAGTATTAAAGGCACTAAATTAACTTTTGTTTCATCTTGTTGTCATGCAATAACAGCAGTTTGAATCTATTCAGGTGTGGAGAACAGAGTTTTATTCCTCAAAGCAGAGTGCAGAATGTAGATCTGAAGGGAGGCAACTGCATGGGGTGTGCAGTCCTTAATAGAAAAATAATCTTGGAACACACACTGCGGAATCAGATTAACATATCCATTGCCCAATTCAAAACTGCTTTTTTATTCTTTGCACAGACAGCTTTTCTGCCCAAGTCATTCTTTCAAAATGACTATATACCCAACACCAACCCTTTTGCCTCCTTATCCCAAATAGAAACAGCAGTTCTTTCCTTGAATTAACTTAACTAACAGAAATTTTGTTCTCTTGATCTCTTTCCAAAATAGGGCTTAGCGGATTGTCATCCTGCACACCCTCGAGATGTTGCATTATTTATTCGTTGTGTTTTATATATTTTTTGAAACCAGAGGCTAATGCAATCTTCCCCAATCTGATGTTCACCAAGGGTGTAGGACTGTGGCTCCCCTCATCCCAGGATAGCATAGTCAGTGACCATGTTTGCTCATGAAGATAAGCTGTAGAGAAAAACGTGGCTGGAAAAACCTTGATTGGAGAAGGGCACCAGCCATGGGTGTACCTTTTCTGCAAGGAAGTGTCCAGTCTTCTCTTGCAAATTGGCAAGCAAAAGAATAGAATTGGTGAGGGGTGTTTTTCATGTCCGCAGAATTCAGTCAGCCCAGAGGAATATGCAAAAATCCCTCTACTTACTTTTCTTTCAATGTCTTCTCTTTGTTCCATATAGTTTTCAGCTTTATAGTAACAGTATTAAATTTACTGTGTGTGTGCGCGCACACACACACACACACACACAAACGAGAGAAAAGGCAAAAAAAAACTCACATCCAAATACATGGCATAAAACTGAACTTTTTTTTCCTTGTAATTTAAAAAAAAAACAAATGTCAATATTATTCTTTGCATTGTGTCTCTGGAAATATCTTTTTATGGTTTTACTTTGGTAGAAGGCCTCTATAGAACAAACATTGCAAACCACAATGGGGATGAAAATGTAAGGAGAGCTTCAATGGCACCTAAAAGAAACTCATCTTTCATGCAATCTATTGGGGAGAAACTCATGAAATAAACTCTGCCTGCCAGGCAAGGTTTCCATTAAATTCAAGCTTATGAAGCCAATTTTGTCTTGAAGTCAACGCATGTATTACTGTTGGACAGTAAAACCCGGCTATGCCATCATCAAGTCCAAGGCTGTGCAATAGTCTAATTAGTATTGAGTACCATTTCCCTTTTATTTTTTCCAATAATAAAAAAAACAACAACAGTGGGATGAAAATTGCTTTGATATATAGCAGGTAACATTGAAGCTATTCCATAGCACTTAACTGTAGTGAATACTGTGTCACCAATTCTGAAATCAATTTAATGTTTAATGCAAACCCATTACATGGTGCTATTACAGGCTGGCAAAATGATTTACAAAAATGTGACAACTTGGGCTCAATTCACTCTGCTTTCTAACAATGTAAATGCATAGCAGTGTTTATCTGCATGAGAACTATGCACTAATATAAATCTGAAAAAAAAAAAAGAAATATATCAACTTTGGTATCTACTTTCTGTTTACTTCAATCCTTGCCTTTTTTGGTCATTGTTATAAATGCCAGCTTTAGGACAGAAAGAAATATAAGAAAACCAGCATAATACCTGATATATTAAAAATGTAGTGCCTGTGAAATCTGTATTATATTGCTCTTCTGAAGTTAAGATTTTTCTACACCAGTAGCCTTCGCTGTCTGTCAGAGCCTTCTGATATAGGTGATGTAAAATAACCAAACAATATTAATGCATGCTATTCCATAATGCTTAGTGAGCTGTATGAATATTACTCAAAGTTATGTTAGTCTTTTTTTTCCTCTCTCTCTGATTTGGTCCTTGTCAGATAGGTTTAAAGATATTTCACCGAGAACACAATTCTGTTTTTTCTTGGTTTTGGGTGTTTTCAGTATTTTGGAAATACACATTTAACTTAAAATTCAATTCAGTATTATTTGTGGGGGGCATTCTTCACTCTCGAGGGCAGGTCTGGGGTTTGAAATCCAGAAATCCATGCCTGGTGGTATATTTTCTTTGCTTAAGCAGCCTAAGAACTCTAAAAGCTTATCTCAGAAGAAAAAAAAAACAGACATAAGACTTCAGTGGAACCAACAATTCTCAAACTTGGAACTGACATTGAAAATGTTTTCCTAATGGACAGTGTTTAAACCAGGTACCCATGCTTGACCCTGTTTCACACCAGACCTCCTCATTTAACAGAAATGTGTAAGAACTTTAAAACCAAACCTCATACGGCTATTTAGTTTCCATGCACTGCTGTTTTTCTTTTTTCTTTTCTTTTTGTCAAAATTCTGTATAAACTTCGGGCCCGATTCATGAGTGGTCACCAGGAATTAACATAGGATTTTGGCATTCAGGTTGGGTTTTCACCCCCTCCCCCCAATCCAAATGGTATAGCTTTCTTTTTCTTTCCAAGATTTTCATTCGGCGTACTGCTTTTATTTAAAGGCTGTCAGACAGGCCTTTAAAATATTAAAGTAGGACATGAAGAAAGGAAAATGTGAGATTGTAATGATTTAAAGAGAGCATTTTTATGCACTCTAGACTGGATTGGAGAACCGTTCCCCAGAGCAAAATAGTATTCCATTGGCTATGGAAAACTAAGCGAGATTTTGCAGAGAGTTTGTTCTTTTTTGCATAACGTTGCCTAATGCAATGTCAGGTGTTTCATTTGATCCATGCTAAGCAACATCTCTCTTTGCACCTCCCTAAACTTCCTGATTTTATTTGTTTTTTTAAAAAATACTTTTTAATCCTGGGGAGGGGGGAAGAATCACCATTAATGAGAAGCAAGCATGCTGCAAGGCAAGCTCTTGTTCCTGATGTGACATTAATTTACAAGGAAGCCTCTTTGGCCCAATCAGAACCCATAACACTTCAAGGAAATAAGGGACAGATCTATCCAGTTTTTCTAGGATTCAACAATGTAACTCTAAAAAGGATGATAGGTCCAATCTCAGTTGTTTGCCTTTCATTGGTTCATGAGAGTTTTGTATCTGGCTTTGCCAGTGTTGCAGCTCTTTTGTGAAATCACAAGACCTTTTCATGACACATCCTGCCAGAGTGTTCAGGATATCTTTTTAAGACACCAAAAATATTCTCTGACATACACCCCTCCCAAAGTTCACCCATGCTTTAGATCAATCTTTTTTTTTCCTTTCCAAAAGAAAGGAAGAAACTAGGAACAGTCCAGATCTAAGGAATGGGAGTAGCATAGATAAGAGAGCTGGCAATAGGGTGGGAACGACCATTCAAGTTGAGGAAAGATTCTATGTTCATGTGATCTTGGAGAGACCAAATATGGAACAGAGAAATGAATCTAAGAATCTAACTCATTGATGGCGAACCTTTTAGAGACTGAGTGCCCAAACTGCAACCCAAACCCCACTTATGCATTGTCGAGTGCTGGGTGGGCGTGGCCCATTGGGTGGGCGTGGCCCATTGGGTAGGCGTGGCTGCAGTGGTAACGGCAGACTGGATGGGACTAAAAAGTTCAATCAATTCCAACTTTGCAAGATCCTTTTTTTCCCCGCGAGAAGTTGAAATTGACTGATTGGACCTTTTTTTTTTTGCACATGGCGGCAGAGGCCTAAAGCGAAAAGGTTTTATAAAACCCAACTGAAGGTCTAGGACTGGGGCAATGGCAAGCGTGCCCAGAGAGAGAGGGCTCTGAGTGCCGCCTCTGGGACCCATGCCATAGGTTCGCCACCACTGATCTAACTAATCCTTCACATTCTGCTGGAAAAAGGCAGCCAAGAGGTTTAGCAGTGGGTTTCCCCCCCCCCCGGCTTGCAAAGTATGGTAGTGGGAATATTCTGCAAATAAGAATATCTATAATATAATACCTGCCCTTGGCTTCTTTGTACAGTTAGCCACTCACCAGTCCACTTACTCAGGTCTAACAATCAAACATTTGATTTGTTTTTTTTTTCGTCTTACACAACAATGCATTCTCATGTGAAGATTTGCTGCAAATTCACTTAATCCTTGCTTTAATATCCCTGTGTTTCCACTTTTTTATGAATCGGGTCCCTTGTGCCTCTAGTATCCTTGTATTGATCCTCATAGTTACCATTTTAGGTTTACTGTGTTCTGTGAAAATTTGAAATTGGTTGAGAATCACTGTGGGCATCCATTCTTTTCAACTAAATCTGCAGATTTTTTTTTTTTTTTTGAGCTGGTGTGGATTAGTTTAACTCTTGTATTCAACCATTAGTGCTACCACCCTCTCACATTACAATACAATTACTGGAAGCAAGTACTGCATTTCCTATGCAACAAAAAAGGAAAATAAAAAATTGCTAATGCTAACAGGCTTTGTTGTTCTTTAGTTTATGACATGCATGCAAGTATCTGTGTTATATATATGCATATATATATGCAGAATTATGACTAGCTGAGATTTTAATACTGTACCCAAAAACTGCTATGATGAGACAAAACAATTAGAGTATTGTTAGATCATTGTTGTCACTTCACAGATATATCATAGTCTTTTTATCTGGTTCTGGTTGTAGCAAATTGGCAGATCCAGAGACTTTACCTTACAGAAAAAATATCAGGAATGTGGTAGCATCTTTTGTGATACAGAGTGGGTAGAGACTGCTGGAAATTCTACATCAGTCTAACCACTCAATATATCTAATGAACTGAACTTTTAATTAAATGTGTCAGTCACAAAAAGTGCAACCAGATTCTTGATTTTTGCCCTCATAGACTAACATGGCTCTTCTCCTACAATATCTAGTCTACAGCATTAAGAACTCTTCACTAGCTAAACAGAATGCAACTAGGAATGCCTCCAACGCAAAAATACACATTCGCCTCCCAGGTGTTGTTAGGTACAATTAATTCAAGTTCAGAGAATTGGATGCACTGTTATCTCAAGATACAATCTACAGTACTGGGGCAGATTCTTGGATTCTGAACAGTTCACTGAATACAGGTAGTTTTTGTTATTTGCAAGAATTATACCCTACTATACAATCATAGTGGAGAGCAGAAATAGTGGGCAAGACCTGGGAGTACTAGGGAATTAGGCGCCTGAGGTGTAAAAAAAAATGACTGAAAAATAATCCAAATTCACCAAAAGCAGTAGGAAAAGAAAACAGAAATAAGGATCTGATGCCTTCGCCACCTTAGATATTCTCTTCCATTCTATTTTATTGTGTATTTGTATGCAAAGGAAGTAATGTGTAGAACAAAATATAAAGTGAGTATGTTACTGGGATCACTGGGAAATGTGGGAGTGAGTGTAGATGCAAATAGAATAGAACAGAACGCAAATAGAAACACACATCAAAACCTGCTAATGCACAAAAACTTACATCATGGCTGATGTGTTTCTATTTACCAAGCACAGATGCACAAAACTGCAGATTACAAGACCATGGATAATATCCCATGATAGGGGCTTAGCTCTTTTCAGGCAACTTGTTAGCGCTCACATGGTAAACAGTTGTTCTCCTTTGTAAAATGATGCGTTCTTGTTAGTCCTTTGTGAAGATATGATTTTCTGGATTAAAAAACCTTTATTTCCATTTCTGACCTATAACCCTGCTGTCATTTGTCTGAATAATGAAAAGCATTGAATTTCTCTGCTGTCTTGGTAGGTTCTTTGGCAGTCAATAGGAATAGACTTTCTTCCATTGAAAGAAATGCTCCCCTTGATTTTTTTTTTCTTCAGTAGTCATCTTACCTAGTGCATTTCCATCTGGAATAAGGGCAGTTAAAGTATTTGCAATCAATCTCCCTTCTCTTAATTCCATACAGCTTTGGTATCTTGTTAATAACACTTTTACTAGCCTGGTATTTGTGTAGGCATTATTTACAAATGATCACTCACATTTCTCTTTGCTACACATAGAAGGGCTTCTCTAATGGAAGTTTACCATTTATTACTACTTTTTATCCTGAATCAGGAAACAGTCGCTATAATTCATGTGAACTAAGGGGAAGCAGTCTTGAAATATAAATCATCCTGCTGGGCCTTCTTCTGAAATTATGTTTCTCCAAGGCAGCTTCCCATAATTAAGGTTTCTGACCTTAGAAGGTCATTCTAGCATAGGAAGGCATCACTGGGAAAAGATTCTCTATGTCAGGGGTAGGCAACCTTGGCTCTTTTATGACTCATGGACATGGCAGGCTCAGGAATTCTGGGAGTTAAAGTCCGCGAATCATAAAAGAGCCAAAGTTGCCTACCCCTGCTCTATGTCCTATTTGGAGGGATGAGAACTATTTAATTCCGTCAAGTATCAGAATCATAGAACCTGAAGCTAAAGTAAACTTCAGAAGTTGTGGGTGATCCACCCATGGAGGCTTTTAAGAAGAGACTGGACAACCATTTGTCTGAAATGGTAGAAGGACTCCTGCTTGAACAGGGGGTTGAACTAAAAGACCTCCAAGGTCCCTTCCAACTCTATTATTCTGTTTCTAAAACTAAGTCTGCTACCATAAAAGTGGACTTTAATTCCCAGAATTCCTCTG